GCCAAGTGTACACAAAGACATGATAAAAAAAAAAGAAAAAAAAGAAAGAAAAGCCAAACTTGAAGCAACCAATGCTGGTAAACAGTTCAGTTCAATGTTATATGCTAGTTTTAAGGCATCAATAAAGAATCTAGAATTTTTGATGAATTCAAAGAAGGGAGATGATTTCTCTACTGAAGCAACAAATTAACTTAATTCTTATTTTCACTCCTAAAATTAATGGATGCATTAGTTTTTGTATCACTGATTTAATAATTCCGGGACTTTCCACCCTAAAAAGAAAGTTTTCACATTAGTGAAAATCAGTTTACTACTTCAACTTCTCAAATCTAAAACAGTAATCCTCATGTTACCAAATGAAACCACAAAAACCCTTTAAATGGTAATTGCACAATTAAGTTAGGTGACCAAGCATTATTTAGTTAATTTTAAAAGGTGAAACCTTCCCTTTCAAACATGTAACAGAACAAACGGAACAGCACTCACCAGGAAATACAAACAAAAAAAAGCAGAACTTCAGAGCAGAAGTCTCATGGGGTGCTGGGTAGAGCACTCTGGTGGTAGTGGTGTCTCTAACAATAAAAGTCTCTGCTTCCTGGTTTGTCTTTGTAACTGCTCTGTTTCTTTTAGACACTGCTTCTATCCCTCCAGCGGCTGCTTCATCTGCACCTCATTGTATATTTTCTGCGTCTTTATTAGCTGCGTCTCTCATCGCCTCTTTTCTCCCAGTAGAAAACCCACAACAAAGCCCACGCTGCTCCTTGGGCTGCAAAGCTTCCCTCACCAATGAATGAGAAGGAGGAGGGGAATGCGTGTGGTGGAGGGGGGGTTAATTTACATAGGAGGGAAGGGTGGACTAGGGGAGAAAAAGTGGGTAAGGAAGGGGGAAGTTTAATGTTATCTGTTGGCCATGTCAACAGACTACATTAGTCACCTGCTTAAAAGTAATCCTCTGGGGGAGGGGGAGAGAATATGTGTTTTCGTCAGAGTGAGGAGAGGTTACCAGTGGGATTCCCAAGAGTCGGAGGGGGAGGGTTTAAGCATTGGATGGGGGGGTAAAAGCTTAAACTGGATCAGAAGAGCTGTGATTGAAATGAATGAAATCTCCCGGAGTTATGCACTAATAATCAGGATTCCCTCTAAAAGGAAACACACACATACCCTAAGAGCCCAGAAGGGGTCCATCAGTGTAACCCTAGACTATTCAGGCAGTTTCTGATGAAAGACAGAGAGATCCTCCTTTGGGAGCTGACTGGGTCGGATATCAGTCAGACACCAGAATATTCTGAGACAGACCACAGAAGGACATACTAATCTACCTTTAAACTGACAAAATATGTTGCAAATGTCTACTGGATTTTTTAACTATATATCAACCATAAACATAAAAGAAATATTAAAAAGATATTTAATTTTTAAGTCACAGGGAAACCGCTGTTCCAACCATTGCATTTCCGAATTCTCCAGAGTGGTGCCCAACTTTACAAGGGTGAATAAAGTGAAAGTGATTGATCGATTATCAAGATTTGCAAGCCTCTTTGGTTGTGGCCGGTTTTTTTCTGAAGGATCTTGCTTACCAGTTAGCAACTGGGAAATTACATTGGGACCAAGTAGTACTTCGCAACGACACTGTCAAGGAACGCTATGGACAGAGGAAACATGCAAGAGGAGAAGAGTTTTATGCTGGAGGTCGTGGATGAGTCTCCTCCGTCATACATTTTTAATTTAGAGATGGAAAGTGGGGACGAAGTTGTTGTGGAAGAGGACGCCAGGGCGCAGAAGCTTGGTTTGGTGTAGAAGGCTTACAGCCGTACATGTTTGAGCCCTTGCCTCGCAACGCTGCCAGTTCTGTTAGCTCTACGCCTGCTGAAGACACAGACGTCCATCCCTGTGAACACTGGGATGTAAACTCAACGGTGATGTAAATGATAATCCTTATTTCTTATTTCAACCATAGCATATATTAGCTGCTACATATGAATGAAGATGACCGAAAAAATAAATTGACAGATGACCGTTAATATATGATTGGCCGAATTTAGGTGCACAAGCTGACGTATAACTAACTGGCCTGCATAAGATAATGACAAAAAAAACCCCACAGTTTTTAAGACAGGATTTTTTTTTATAGAAATGTTCCCAATTTTGGGACAATATGATAAATAGTACATTTATATACATGTTTAAGCCAGAATGATTTGACATTTAAATATGATTTCACAACGATTCCCACAAGGGACAGAACCCTATGATGCCATGTGGAAAGGATGTGCTGAAGGTTCCCTTTGGTTTTTTGCATGCATGGTTAAATATTAAACATGTTGACAACCCCTTTGTTATCTTTATATAAATTGCACATCTAGATCTGTTTCTCTTAAAGCTGTCTAATTCTAAAGTTTTTTTTTAAAAATAACTACCTGAACAAAAGAAGCAAAAAAAGGCTGCTTTGAATACATAATCAAAGGCCGTGTTTCACCTACACATCCATTCATGTATTATTCACAATCCCCGTTATGTGCTTGTTATGTATGAAAAATAAAAATGCATGATTACAGCAAGATATTGTTTGAAAAAGTGGTTGCAATTAGCCTTGACCTGATTCGGCTTTCACACAAAGATGTATCAAGGTTAAGAGGAGAGAGTGAATGAAAGCCTGTTAAACAAGGAGTAATTACATTGTCTCTCACTTCTTTTCAAGTGTGTTTAGGTGTTACTCAGCCCATTAACACCTCAAAAAACCCTCAGTTTTTCAGTACAGAGCTAAAAAACAAAGCTATTTTCTGATTAACATCATCTCTTCATGGACAGACCAAGTGCAGCGTACAGAGTCAGTGCATTGTTTGGTAAAAATGTTTTAACTGTGGACTATTCTGAAAATAAATCGGTTTAAAGATAGGACACATGAAAACGGCTGGCTTAACTTCTCTTTATACCCTTATCAAGATCCATGTCTTACATTATATACTTTGTAATATAGGTCTAAGCTTATTTATAAATCTAAGTGCTATAAAACCTGATAAACGTTTGATATGGTGACAGTGACGGGGAAAAGATGTAATGATTATTCACTTAAATTGGGATCCTACTATAAACAGATAGTAAAGATATTCACAATTAAACTCCTATATATAAAATGCCAATTCTGCTGTTTTATTTTTATTTGCATACTCTTTAAATTGTAGAAAATCTTTGTTGTTATATTTAAAAGATTTAGTTCTGTTTTCACTAAACTGCTGAGTGAATGAGTAATATTAGAAAGAAGAACTTAGTAAAACCCTATTGGGTTTAGGTCAAATAAGTCACAAGTACATAAATTAAACATTGTTAAGGTTGACCTAAATGTGCATTTGGATTACTCCCTTCATGTTGGATATTTGATGAAGGATGCATTATTTATTTTTCGTTTTAGAGATTAATTTTAGGTTTTATTGATTTTTATTGTTAGTTTATAAAGTATGTAGACAGGAAAGTGGGTGACGTGAGAGGAGGGAGGCATTCAGCAAATGTCAGCAGGACTGGGACTCAAACCTGTGACATTCAGTATATGGGTCATGCCCTCTACCTCCACAGCATAGCAGCACCAAGGATGCATTTTTTTGTTTTTACGATAGGCTAGCCACTTTAAGCTAAAATTTGATGACCTTAATAGGGATAAGATCTTTAATGCCCAAAGGTAAAACTAATCAGTTTAAAGCATAATTTTTCTCTCTTTAAATGTCTCAGTACAGGCTTCTTAAACGTAATGATGAAAGCAATACATCAAAATACGTCAATGACATATGGAGATATAAGGGGCAAATTAATATAAAGCAAAAGAAAGATTTTTATTTATTTATTTTTTAATCTTTTTTCTGTCTGTTTCTGTCGATTGACAGAAAAAACCTGAGTTATTGTTTCCTTATTTGTATTACCGGTAGTTATTGTAATATTATGTTTTTCTGACCTTGTAAAAGTAAATCTAATTCTTTAATCTGTATCACTGCTGCTTTGACTTTTTAATAACATAATACCACAATACTCTTATTTTCAATATTACTCTATTTATACATGCAGTCTAAAAAGAGGCCTGTTTATTTTTCTTTTTTGCACTTGATGCTAAACAAAGGCTTCAGATCATGTTTTTATAACACAAATACATTCTGCAGAAACAGCTTATTTTTGTTTTTGGGGATGCTTTCTTTTTTTCTCTTTTTCTTTCTCTCTCTTTCTTTCTTTTTTGCTGCTATTGGGCTTGCTAAATTTGACAATTTTACATTGTTTTTATCCACTGGTTTGAGAAATCTTAAAACCATGTCCAAAATGTGAAAGATTCATTAATAAAACTATACTCTTCTTGGCACTATGAGGGTTAACATTGTGTTGGAAAATGTCCATTTAAATATACAAACTTATAATAAGGATTATCCGTGTTGCAGTAGAAATTATCCTTCTTCTCCCAATTAGAATTTATACAAAGCGTAGAATCAACAATTCCTACAATACATACAAAGAAATGCTTTTCTTATTCATCTGAAAGATGAATAAACCTCAGACTGCTTTCAAATACCAGAATCTAAACTCTGCTACCCTCTAGTGGTGAACATATATATAGTGTAAAAAAAATGGGGAAGAAAAATACAAACAATAAAAGGACAAGGTCCACATGTTCTGTTAGGCTCGTAAAACATGTGCAAGATATGTATTACAATATCAGATTTACGGATTATTAAATAAATATTTTCAAATCGGATAAACCACCTTAAAAGGGGAATTAAATGTTTGCATTTCTAGAAAATGACCATAACTTGGATGACTGAGAATCTTCACCAACATTTGCATTTCTAGGTTTAATCTGAGTTAAATATATAAAGCTGATTTGAAATTGAGCCCCCATTGAAGTTAAATATACTCTATTCAAAGCTTTTTCTTCCCAAAAAGATAATTAAAGATTCATTAGGATCCAAAAGGTTTTAATTAAAATCTTTCCTTGTTAAACAAAAACAGATAAAAGCAGCACTTACAGAAGTTTCCTGGCGGCTGTAGGCTGTGCTTCGTCAGGGAACACCAACCAACAGGGAAGATGTCTCTGGAGTCAAAGGGGCACCAGTAGTCAAAGGCGCCTCGCCAGCCGTCAAACATAACAAAAATCTCCTGGCCTCGGACCTCTCCCACTGTGGCAGGACAAATCAGGTAAGGGTTTTTCCTGTCCACTGCTTCCAGCTTCATGCCAGGTTGGAAGTAGTTTTTAGATGGGCTTGCTGGCTCCTAAAGCAATAACATGTGAATTATTATCACAATCAAAACATATTATAATTCACAACTTAATAAGTGACAAATATATATTAATCATTTCATTGTATTGGACCAATAATTAGATTCTAGTTTCTTGTATCTAAGGTTTGCCTCTCTGTTGTTCATGGATGTCTCTGCTGCTTCTATCCTCTCTTTTCAATTCATTTTATCTAGATGGTTTTGTCTTAGTACTGTAGGTTTGAAGGTGAGTCGTTCACTTTCAGTTGATATATTAAGCAGTACTTTGTGAAATTTTAAAATATATGGATGTTGTTGTAGAACCTAACTCTGCTTTTACAATCCCCCACATTTTGAAGCTCGGGATGAGGAGGAGCAGGAGGGCAGAGGTGGACAGTGATGCTTGAGATAGAGCATCAAACTCTACAAACCTTGTGCAAACTGTTACTGTATAGATACACATATTTACATTAGTGTATTTATATACATAGAGTTGTAGAATACTCTCCCTATAAATATTTAATTCTCTGTGAATTAATTTTGAACGTTCTTTAATAAGATTCTCATCAAATGGACATGCAATGTTTGTTTTAAAACCTAAGGTGTCTAATAGACCCAGTGAATTATATATTTTTTATTTTATGCACAAAACTATGACAAAAAAGGAGAGCGGACACAGAGGACACTGTGAGTTTAATAAAAAAAAAACCTGCTCTCGACCAGGTAAATTCGGAAAACTCCCAGTTTCCCTGATTTCAGGTTTAAACCTGCTTCTTGAAACGGATCCCAGGTCCTATCTGTTAGAACAACATTTGTAATTACTTCATCTTCACCTGCTGACAGCTAATTTTACCTAAAAAGATACTTTGATCCACTACCATCCAGGCAATAAACTAGTTTTCACTGTAATGTTATCATGGTCACAACAGGCTATGGCAGGTAGTTTTGATATGTATTAGTTTGAATATGTAATACTGATATCTGAAAAAAACTTTTTCCTTCAAAATTACCATTTGAAACAAAATGACTCCTCACGTTTAGAATAAACATTGAATTTCTCTAAAAATGTATTTCAGATCTCCATATGCCTATTGTTACTGGTCATCATTCTTACTACTTTGACAATGAAGAAATGTATTTCACATATAACAAACACATATTCAGTCAAGCTGATAAACTTCAAAACTGCCTCTTAAAATGTGTAAACATGTATAGGTATATAACAGTTAATTCTTACTAGTATAATTTTTCTTTTTTAATTTCTAAAATTCAGTTTTTGCTGCAAAAATGTAATTTAGAAAATCTGTTATGACAATTCTGATTCTGACCTTAAACTAGATCAATTCAGAGTTGAGGATTTGAGTCTGAGTTGGTTAAACCTGCTTTGTGAAACTGACCCCTGAAAATAAAACAATGTGATTGTTTTTAAGGAGAGTGGAGACAGAGGACACTCTAAGTTTACTAAGAAATAACTGCTCCCGACCAGGTTAGCTCTGGTAAGAATATTACTACAGTATGGTAACAGAAACAGAGGTTGAGTAAACTCTCTTTGTAAAACGGAGAATTCAGAATTTCCGTGCTTATATGTTTAGAAAACGTATGAGTTTTCAGTCAACCTTCTTAGTTAAACGGGCCTCTGGAGTTTAACTGGAGTTGTTAAAATATGGTAAAAAAAAAAACACATCATATATATGTATGTTGGTCTGTTTTTAAAACCACCACAATGTTGATTGAAGGTTGTTAAGATAAATCTAACAAAGTTTAATACTTTCACAGGGTAATGTTTTAATCATATATCCCTGTAATTTCGGCACACCCAACAGTAACATAAATAATGGTCGTAAAAACATTTTTATTAATCAAATACAGACTTTATTTGAATAATAATAAACCTTCAGAAAAATATGGGTATCAGTGATGAGATCTTCCTTTGTGACACGTTCATAATATTATTCTAGAAGTTAGATCTTCTTCGGGTTGCCTTCTTACCTTCTTAAAAGCAGAGGCGGGAGCTATCTCTGCACCACTTAGAGTCCGCAGGAGAAACATGGGCCATGATGATGCATTCATCCTGAAACCTGGACATGGTGTAAAAATCATTAACACATCTGGATCTTGTGAATTTGTCCAATAAATTCTGGGCCTGCTTTTGTGCCTTTTTAATGGAGGAAAATTGGATACAAAGAAGTGAGTTCAATGAGGGTAGAAATGGCAAAGAAACTTTAAAAAAGTGAGTTATCCAATATAAATAGTGCTGTTTTTTCACTGTTACAACTGTATTATAGTTTATCATGTTTAACACATTAATTATCTGGCTGTGCATATCCAAATACTCAAATTAATTTGCTCATATTTTTATTGTAAACTAGCATGAAGTATGTAAAACTAATGCATGTGACATATTTGAAATCTCGAATGACAAGTGTGCTACTGTGGTTCCTTAATGCTACTTCTAAATTAATTGAGAACCAGCTTTGAGCTCTAGGGGTTAAAGATGCTCACCCAGTGGGGGCTGCAGCATATCTCCACTCCTTTCACAGGTTCCTAACGGCTGGATCTCTGAAGAGTCCACCAGCCGCCAGAAGTCATTTGTGTTGTCACTGCCATCTAGGCGGAGTCGCAGGCGAGTGCCCATCATGCCCATCACCGTGGCAATGCAGACTGAATTAGAGTTGCGGGGATCTCGAGCCTCAAGCTTCATACCTGCTTTGAAATCATTGGAAGGTGGGATTCTGGACTGCAGAGAGAGAAAAAGACCCATTCAGTCATTTTAACTGGTTTCCTTGTTCATGTGGCTTAAATGTGGCCAAGACCAAGGCTTTAAATAGGCAGAACTGATTCAGTTCTGGTCTGACCTGCCAATTTTAATGTTAGTCAATTTATCTTCATTTTTTGTAAAGGCTTTTTTCTACTGTGTGCACATTTTGTGTCCGGTTTTGATTGATAGATTGAATTAAATTCCTTATAAATTGTATGAACAGTCTAAGCTTTAAATCTGGATTAACATTTTATACCTTAAATGTGAAGCAGCTATTTTATTCCGTACCAGGTCTGTAACAGAACAAATATTGTTGGATGATAAATTTCCACAGAAATTATTGCATTAAATGATAATATTGTCATTTAGTTTAAATCCAAAGAGCTCCCACACTCAAGCTGTTGCGTTTGCCATTGAAAGCAATTTCCTCTCTTTTTCAAAATATCAAAAAGCATTTCAGTGGCTTGCTGCTTCATAGTCACATGGCCCTCATGCTATGCAACACAAATGATAAGAGAAGGGATGAGTGGAGACCTGAGTGAAACTTTTTGTCATCTACATCTTTTAGTATAAATGGAGAGAGACAAGAGGAAAGAAGCACGCACAGCAAATTTGGAAGTGCTCAATTCAACACTTTTAAAGTATATTGTTCCACATTAAACTGAGTTGAAATAACATTTAAAGGGGTAACAAAAGTAGAAACTGTGACAAAGTCAGAACCAAATAATTTTAGTTCAACATTTATCAGGTATGAATTCATCTAACACTGGTTTATAGACTTAACTTTTGACATGACCTGCTTACTGACCACCATCAGTACGCAAAGTGGATGGAGTGTCTTTCTGCAGGACATGATTGAGATGGATGGAGCTGGGATTTAAACAGGTGACCAAGCCAGACTTCTGCATCCTGGGCCACAACCCTAAATTCCACAACTATTGCTTTTAGTGCATGCGTTTTAAGAGGGGTGAGGATTACTCAGGTCATGTAGCTAACAAAGCAAACTATTCACTATAGATAGATTGACTATAAATAAACTTCAGGCTCAAGCCTGGCTCTCTGTTCAGTGTTTTAGCTCTGAAACTTTCCTCAGTCTTCAAACAAAGATTTTCAAGTAGAATAGAATTCTGGGAGAAACTCTGTTCAGTGTTTATTTTAAAATCTAAAACTAAATAGAGTTGCTTAATTTAACTCCCCTGATTTTTTGGGGGCAGAACTAACTTTTCCATACTACTCAGTGTTCTTCAAATTCTACCAATTAGTCCAATATGATGAATTTTAGTTTATTTTACTATGATATTGTTAACTTCAGTTGACTCTTTTTCGTTCAACTATCAAACAGGCTCGTCAGAAAAGGGAAATCTTCTTTTTTAATTAAAGGTGGAGCTGTTTCCACAATAAAAATTACTAGGCTAACCAACACGAGCAAGATTGGTGGTCTACATTTAACCAGCATTTTTTAATCCTTGCAAGGGAGAACAGATGCAGTTTTTGCCAGTCAGTTCTGGTCAAAGAATCAAACTAATACTTGACACTTAAACAGCTGAGGGGGATTTAAATAGCAGTAATTTAAACAGGGATGGTGAAAAACACTGAAGCCCTTTCCAGAACATCTCACTGGAATACAGATTCTCAGGTGTCAGTTAGATAAGTGTTAAGGCTTAGCTTTGTCTAGCAAATGTGCAGCCTAGGTTAATACAGTTATGCAACACAGAAAACAAAATGAGCTCACATTCAGGTTTTAAAATAGAGGGCATAAATATAGAAATATTTTTCCCACAGCAGAGATCCACTTAGAAAAGTTTGAGAACCACTAAATTGGAGTAAAAAAGTATTACATTAACACTTTCATTATGCCAATAACTGATTTATTATTTATTGTGAAAGTCCTACTTGGCAGAATTAAAACTCTGGATGAACTACGGATATGAAAGGAGTTATTCTGACTGCACGGAAAGATTGTTTACATTTTTACATTGATGTTTAGCCTAAATTGATATATTTTTTTTAAACATCATCAAATCATCCCAATCCTCCTCGTGATTGGTTGATCATTCCCACACGTCAGCTCTTCCACCACCTAACATTAAACCTAATACTTTCAATATGGAGAGGAAATGACTCTAAGGCTGAAACAAATGATTGGCTTAATGATGATTAATCAGTTATTAAAACACTTATCAACTTATTCTAATAATTAATTAATCTTTAACTTATATATATATATATATATATGTTTTCAAGTTACTGTAAGTGTAATAATCCTTTACTAATTTTCAGAATATGTAATTAATAGATGATTTATATAATTCAGTAAATGTTAGCAAAGTAACATCCCCCCATTTATTCATCACAGTTTTTCTCTCTGGCTTTTGCTCAAGTGCATCAAAGAATATGTTGACTTTTAATGCAATTAAGGACCAACTAAATTTAATAACAGTAAAAAGTCTTTCTTTTTCAGTATTTAATAGGCCAGTGACCAATCAGAGCCAATCAAGGCACACATTTGGTGTATTCAATGATAACTATTGCATCACCACCAAGGTTATAATGGCTTACAATTTTTCATTCTAGTTTTTTTTTTATTTAGCTGTAGCTAGTTTTTTTCTATAATTCAGTTAGTTTCAATTACTTATATAAAGGAAATTTTATTAGTTACAATCATTTGATAATTCTTAGTACTGGTTTAATTTTAATGAGTGCAAGTACTAGTTTTAGTCATTTTTTAACTCTGGTTAAATTTTTGGTGCAGCATTTAAAAAAGTCAGAGTATTCCATTAATCATGCATATAAATCATGCATAAAAGTTTTAGTTATTTTATTACTTTGATTAAATTTTTGGTGCAGCATTTTAAAAAGTCAGAGTTTTACATTTATCATGCATATAAGTAATAAAAAATTAACACAAAACACCATTTTCAAAAAGTATTTCAATTACAGCTTATTTAACAGAGCTCTGTGGAAAAAACTAAACATTTACTAAAGTGCTTTTAAATTGTTTTGACATCTTAGTAAAACAGTTGGTCATGCTAATCTTAAATTTTTCCTTTTGAGAGAATCAAGTTGTTCTGCCAAAATATGTAAATATCCATATGTGTCGCAGTAAACAACAATTATAGTTTGTATCTTTTGCACGTCAAATCAAACATAAAAAGATCCTTCAAATGAAGCAACAGTAATTTATGAAAGAGAACAACTAAGTTCAATCTTACACATAACACTAAGGGATAAATGTAGGTAGAAAAAGTGAGCAGGAGGATTGATGAAATAACTAAAAACAAAGAAACTGAAAATGTAATCAACATGCATCCTGTGAAGATCAGGTACCTGTTTGAAGCAAGAAGGTGATGCTGCTACAGACGAGGTTTCTCTCAGATAGTCTTCCCAACTAAAAGGCTCTATTAACAAAGACAAGAGGGACAAACTGATTAAATTAAACAAAGCTGTTGATCTTAAAATATTGCTTAGTACTTACAGCTGCTTTAAAAATCTAATAAAAGTATCATAAAAATATGCAAATATACCAAAAATATCGCTCTGAAATCTAAAATAACTACTTATGCAATGCTCCTAGTTTTCAACAGTTTTAAAATGAGTTCTTTTTCTGGTAACCAAAATGTGATTTAATCGTTAGATAAGGCCTTAGCAGCGAAGTGTGACTGAAAAGCTCAACAATAAAAAGCAGCATGACAGAGGTCTGAATAGCTGACCGTTTGATTTGTCGAGGGCAGAGCCTGCTGTGATGCTGCTCCGCCTCTCCTTCTTCTCCTCTTTTGGATCTGGAATTAGAAAATGAGATGAACATCAGTAGACATTAAGCACCAAAAACACTAATAAAATGGTAAAACAGAAGAACAATTCTACAAAATTAACAATGTATGCCTACCTCTTTGTGGCGTTCGGCCCATGATGACCAGACAAGTTGGATAAGAGGTAACCTACCGAGAAACAGGAAAAACAGAGCTCACGTTTTTAATTACGCACGAAGGTTCAGTGAATAAAAAAAAATATATGTTTCTGAATATCATTTAAAAAAAGGTTCTCCTTTAGTCTTGAAGCCATCTGGAAGTTTTGATGTTTCATTCAAACATTGGAATTTTATTGCATTGGAATGACACGTTAATACTAAAGGGGGGAAAAAATTAAAAAATTGAAATACCTATTTTCTAATTAAAAAATAAGGTTGCATCATTGTCACATGCGAGGCTCTGTTTATAATATGACAGCTTTATTTAGGCTCTCAGATTCGGCTTTATTTAAAACATAACATATTGATCCTTATACACGACCCCTTGCTTTTAACAACAGTGCACCCCCCTTTTGCAAAAGACACATTAAAAAAAGTTTTAATAAATTGGTATTTTATTACAGCATGATTTGAAATTATAATTTTAAATTTAATACAAAAAAAAACACTTTAAGGTGTCTTTTTTTCACACATCTAGTTTCAACCTTAACAAAACTTAAACCAAAAATGTAGCAAATGCATTTTTACACGTCCCTTTTTCTGGTTGATGAGAGTGTTAAGGAAGTATTTACTACAAATCTGTGAGACTGAGGGCCCTTTTGTCTGAACCACTTTTCAAAATGGGAAAGATGAGACAAGATGTCATTCAAGTAAACCAGTATCAATATAATGAGTTAGTAAATGGCTGCAGGAGAACAGCTGCTCACCTGCACCCTGTCAGTCAGAGCAAATATTAAAAAGATAACAAACAAGACATACTAGGGACACAAATAAAGTTTTTGGTAAAGGAAAATTTATAGGATTTTTCGCATTTACAACACAATATTAATTTTTCTTTTAAGGAAAGACTATTCATTTTAAGGCGTTTTACATATATTTTGCAAGAATGTAAAATAATGTAAGAAAAAATTTTTTAAAAATCCCACACTTCATTTTGTCTTTTCTGTCTTTGATGTAGCCATTTCTTTTTAAAGTTATATATGAAGGGCTGCAACTAAGGATTATTTTGCGAATCGATTAAGCTGTTATTTTTTTGATTAATCGATTCATAATTGGATAGCCAAAGGTTCCTTAAAGAAGTTTTTTTTTACGAAACTAAACCAGGTGAAACTAAAACTTTTCCACTTGAGGAGTCCCTGATAGAGCAGACTGAAAGATAAAAGTTATTTTTTTTATTTTTTATTTTTTTATCTTAAATGCAAAGACTATTTTGCATTTAAGGCAATTATACAAATATTTTTTTTTACAATCTTGCTATAATTACTGCTCTAAGTGGGTCGCTCTGTCAGCTAAATGCATGTTTTAGAGTCTCTACACTCCAGTTAAGGATTAATCGTTTACTTAATTACTTGATGATTATTTCAATAATCAATTAAGATTAATCCGTTTAATCATTTCAGTCCAAAATATATGGTCCTCAATTTATTTCAGTAAAAAACAAAAGAAGTTTTGTTCAAATCTAGAGCTCAATTTCTCTGTCTGTTCAGACCACTTTGATCTATCAGCAGCCCTTGTGTGGGATTTTGCTGCTTTCATTAAATTTGAAAAGTGATTAAGGCATAGTAGATTTTTTTAGGAATGTAATGAAGGCATTATAAGTTTGCCTAAAAATATAACTAACAAACAAACATAAAACAGTTTAGTTTTCTACATTTGGGAGGTTTTTTGTCTCAGACCTAGTTCTGGAATTTGTGCAAGTATTTCAATTAAAGTGTTATTCTATTTGTCAATCCTTTATGTCATAGACACAAACAGCTACTATCTAAATTTGGCCAAAATAGCAGAAACCCCCCTCCCCCCAAAATATTTTACATTACTATGTAGAGAAAAACTACTGGCTCAGAGGGGATGTTGTAAGGTCTGACTGTTCAGGTTTTGAGGCATTCCTCCAACCCTGATAGCTTAGTTACATTACTAATATTTATCCAAATCAAGCTAAATTAAAATTTTGCCATTAAATATAGTATTTAGCAAAATATTTAAGCCGAAAATTTGTGTCAAAAGTCAAAATTAGGTTTATGAGCACAGTCCCACTGGAAAGTCCAGTCCTAAAATGCCTGCAAATTAAATCTATAATACCAAAAACATTACACACTACTGTAGGTAACAGATCCATGAATTTAAACGTTAGAATCTAACTTCTGCAAATCTTACAAAGTTGGAGCTTTCCTTCCTCCAGAAGCGCCTCTTTCCAGTGAATTCCACCGAGTCTGAATCGTAAAGCAGCTCAAGCTGCAATAAAAAGCCGTTAAGATGTGTGGATGTGGGACATGAAAAGGATTCCTGCTCTCCTGCAGAAAGCCTGGGTGTGTTTGTGTTGGTCTGTCTGCGTCGCTCAGGAGGGTCAGACCGAACTGCCCTGCAGACCAGGAAGCACTTAAGTTTTTACTGCCCTTATTTCCACTGGCTCTAAGATGATTTGGGACTGGTGTAAAGTTTAACAAAATCTAAACTGTGGCGAGACTTCAAACATGGCCTAGGATCTGTTTTTGCAGGTTAAACTTCAGCAGCAAAGGTTGGTTCTTACCACCTGCTTGATAAGTTTTCCTTTTATTATATCTAAGGTATTCTTAAGAAAAAATAGTACATAGATATGTGAGTATTTAACTCCAGGAACTTTTTGCTAATTAATTGTATTACAATGTCAAATTTAACCAAAACTAATATAAAAATAGTTAACAGTTTAACTAGTTTTCAATAAAAACCGTTTAACACCACAATAGGTCATTTACAAAAGCTGAAAAACATTAATATTTCCTGTTGAATTTTATAAGCTAAAGTATCTAAACCTGAAACACACTCAAGGCTATATTTATCACACACAGTTGTCAAAGGTTGGGTTGACATATACTAAACAATTAGAGTAAAGAGCAACAATTTTGATAATGTTGTGTTGCAAAACTATTTTTATTATTTCTAATCGAAGTTTCTATCACAAAAAACAAAAATGTTGAAAGTACAAAGATGAGACATGTTTAGATTTTATTTGTTCAATGAATAAGTTGCAAAGAGAAGCAAATGTACTCAGCATGTGTATTAAAGGCTCTACTTTCTCTTCCGAATTTCTTTTGAACATGATTAACAGGAAACGGTCTAAGAATTCAAAAGAAGCAACAACTGAATATCTTTTGAAAAGCCTAGGTTGTCTGATTCAGCTGATTAGGTAATACACAAAGGTCTTTTAACATAACTGTGCTATTTTTAAACCATGCACTGCTGAATATGCAAAAATTATGCCAAAATAATATTTTTTCAAGCAAAAAACAAGCTATTTTGACATTTTTTTATAACAACTAATAAGTAAATATATAAAGCTTCAAATCCAGAAAAGAAATTTCATTTCTACAACATCTCACAACATGCTTTAATTGCAAAGCTGTGTCACTCTCTGGATAACTTACAAAATAATAAGGCAATATTTATAATCATTCTTGAAGAAAATAGTAAAACAAAACAAAAAATGTTGCTGAGATGTGTAAAGATCTGCACCTTTTCCGTTTTTTTAATGAGAAATAAGACAATTGAATGGGGTATGGAGGAGGGAATTGTCTTGTACTTCATAATTTTGCAGGAAAAATTTGATTCTGGAACTTTTTGGTGTCTTTTTAAAGAATTCAATGGATGGTTTCAGGTCTTTATTTTAAATTGCTTATGTTTTTATTTCTTTTGTTTTCTTTTAAAAAGAACAACAACAACAAAAATCCTCTCCAGAGCCCAGTTGGACCATCTCCCTCTAAATGACAGGACAGTTTGGAGGGTCTGGCTCATGTTACTGCAGCTCCGAGGCTGAGACATGGGTGTGAGCCTCCGCTCTGCAGCTTATTATCTCATCACCTTCCAACTTATATAAAACATCAGCAGTTTTTCCCCCCACTATATTTACGCACAGTTTCCCACAAAGAATATAAATAATGGCAGAAAATAACCAGACGCCCTGTAGACAAGCAAACATCAAAGTTAGTCTTTTTTGTATATATATATTATATTTATACATACAAGCTGAAAAAACATGCCTTAAAATAAAGGTGAGTAAAAGTATGTGACGCATTTTTATTTGTTTATGATCACATTTGTGGGCGGGACGGTGCACACACTAACCTTACAATGCACCTACAGCGTGTCTCTTAATGCTGCATTACATGTTTTATCCTTTTATCTTTAGTGCAAGACTCAGCAGCAATGAAAAAGCGAAGGAATATCTGCAGAATTCAGAGTATTCACAGTAAGCGCCCCTTCTCTCTCTCTCTCTCTCTCTCTCTCTCTCCGACCGTCCGCCTGCATAGATTACAGTAATAACTCTCTATCAGCGCAGATAAAAAACAGAGACAGGTGAGAAGCAATGGAAATAACTAAAGCAATCCCGCACACCTGCGGTCCACGAGCGTAGGAGACAGCGGCGGTACCAACCTTGTTTTGATGAGGGACTCCTCACTTTCCATCAAATGCAAGCCGCCATATTCGCTGCAGCTCCGCGCATGTCCACAGCGCAGTGCTGTAATTCATGTTTTCCACCGGAGCGCTCCAAAAAAAAAAAAAAAAAAACGCAGGAGGGGGTTAATAATTAGTCCCTCTAATAGCAGAAATGTCCTTGCGTTGGGGTTTGAACACAAGGGAACGAAATCATTGATGTTTCAGTTGGGTAGAAGCGTTGTTTTCTGATTTATAGGCAGGAAAAAAGAGAAAGTGATGATTAAACATCACAGGTGCAAGAAGGTCACATTGTGGAACAATGTTGCAGTATTATAGAATAGAAATTTACAAGTAACTTATATTCAGTAAGAAGTAAGAAAAATAGGATTAAAATGTACGTATTTTTTAAACATTTAATTGGAATAATACAAGGGCGTAGGAATATGTTTACAATTGGGGGGACACATGTCGGAAATCTGAGATTCGTAAATATTCAACAGAAACATATCTTAAGTACGCTACTTAAAAAAGGCTATTTAATCTTTTTCTTTATTCCTTTATAAATGTGTTTGCAAAAATAATGCATTTAAAATTAACATAATGCATTTGTTCATAAGATGTGAGCATATCACCAAACAAAATGACTGGAGTCTTTTATTAAGCAAAGGGAGATGTCTTTCAAGGGCTTCAGCCCTTGGCATATTTAGTGTCCGCATACGCACTAGAAAATCAAAACAATTCAGTAGGCCACACAAGTGCAAAGTTTGATATGTTTTATTTTGTCAAACTTGCAATAATGGTCAAAAATGAATTTATATAGGTTGACTGACAGAGGGCGCTGACAGTGTGTTGAAGAATTATGGACAGGGCGCTTTGAAGCATCTGGTTCAAAAACGCATTATCAACCTTTGGTAGAAATCCATCCATCCTTCCATTTTCTGTACACCCTGTCCCTTAGTGGGGTCGGGAGGTGCTGGTGCGGGGTCCACCCTAGACAGGTGGCCAGTCTGTCCAGACCTTTGGTAGAAATGGCGCCTTTAATTCCAATTTGCAGTACAGAACAGAGAAAACTACAGAGTTTTCAATGTTGTGTTAATCTGTTTATAGTGTAAAAAGAGGAGCCAGCAGTTTATTTGAGGAAATAAAGATGCAGAAGTTAATTAGTTGGTTAATTAGTGGTTGTGCAGGAGTCCGCTGCACGACCAATGCGGCCGCCGCTGCTAAGAATTAGAATTAATTCTCCCTGTGGTTAACTAATGATCAGGAGCGCGGCAGGTATAACATCTGTCCATTTCGGCAAATCAAAACCATGCAAAAAATTAAAAATCCTCGTAAAACGCACGCCCAGACCGGGCTAATTTCAACACAAGTTGTGTTAGGTGACTGTTACTCACACTGACGTTTCTCTTTTAAAAAAATCTGAGTAAGTCCTACTGCTGTTTCAGCCTTTTAGTTGGTGGTGGCATTGTACTGAAATGAGATATAAAAAAAAATATATAAAAAAAACATTTTGGCTAGCGTGGCAAACGTCTAGAGAAAGTTAGCAGTTAAATATTGGATGAGTGATCAGCCCAAGACTACGGAAGAGGATTAGGGCCACTGGAGAAAAAAAAAATTAAGTGATTTTTACCTTTTATTTCAGTTTAATATGGGAAAAAAAGTCAGAATTCTGACTTTTATTTTCAGAATTAAGACTTTTTTTCTCAGAATTCTGACTTTTTTTCTCAGAATTTTGGATCTTAATGTAGATGGGCACCATGAAGGCAGAGATGTGGAGCACTCAGCTTCACTGACAAAGATGTGAGTTGTTTGAGAGAGCCAGTGACACATTGGTGGAAAATGACAGAATTAGGCAACTTTTTACGTGCCCGAGGGGTCCCCTCATTAATGGAGGAGCAGAAGGTCATTAAACAAGAGAGCTAGTCTCTAAAACAGACATGGCTATGGCTTGATGCTAACATGTTTGTTGTTAAACATACTTTTGTTATATTACATTTGTGTTGTGTTTTCCAAATAGTGTAGAAAATTAATGGTGGGTTTATAATGTTTACCTTTTATGAGCAGGACAGGAAGCAGAGAAGTGTAGCATTACCTCCAACTAGTTAAACTCATAATTATGAAGTTATTCAACAAATTCCTCAAGTTAAAAAGTGCAACTTTTTTATTTTTATTTTTTAACAGATTTGTTGATTAATTCCAAAATTATGTATTCCTTCCAAATTTCCAAATCTGAAGAATTTTTTAAACCAATATCTACATTATTAAACATTTAGTTTATGTTTTAGCAGTACTTCCTGTTATATTTCTTTATACGTATATTTTACATTTTCTTGCACAGCAAGCTCAGCAGATTTGAAATTGTGTGCTTGTGTAAACACAAGTAGTCAATCTTTACTCTAAACATATATTCTGATTATTTTTTAGTTAGACCTTCTTGTTTTTATATATCTGTATAGCACCCCCCCCCCACCAAAAAAAAACTGTAAATTGATTAGAAATATTAATCATCTGTCAGATTTCTGAGAAAAAAGTCAGAATTCTGAGATTAAAGTCAGAAATCTGAGAAAAAAGTCAGAAGAAAAAAGTCAGAATTCTGAGAAAAGTCAGAATTCTGACTTTTTCCCCCATGTTAAACTAAACAAAAAATTAAAAATCAGTTAACTTTTTTCAGTGGCCCTAATCCTCTTCCTACAAGACTAAGATGACTAAACCAAAAAGATTCAGTTTCTATATATGAAAGTGAACTGACAACAAGACGTTATAAATAGGCAATATTCATAGCAGCATTCCCGACAGACCATTTTACCTCATTAACAAGTTTCTGACTTTCTGTATCGCTGTTTCCCTCTGAGTGCTCAAACACTCAACAGTTCACAGAGGGGAGGGGGAGTACAGTGACGTAACGCTATGCTGCGCCTTCAAAATAAAAGCACGATAGTTAAAAAATTGTCAAAATCTAATATTTTGCGGTACAATTTTTGGGGGGGACATATCCACCTGGCTTTTATATTGGGGGGGACATGTCCCCCCCGTCCCCCCCGCTTCCTACGCCGCTGGGAATAAAAAAGTATTTGATCAAATAAATCAATTTAGCCTACACTCACGGAGATAATTTATGTGTATTTAAAGTATATATTAATTTAAAGTCGTCCGTCTTAAATTAATAATTTCCCATTAAGCGCATATCGTTAAAATCCTCCAAATATTTAGAATATAGAATAAGCTTTTCCTCAAATGTATTTCGTCATTCTGCCTCTCAGTTCAACTATTTAATTGAGAAAAAAAAAATCGATATTCTCTTTGTTTTCCTGTAACCAAACGACAACTAAATAAAGAAAAATCTTCAACTATGCACACAATTACAGGTATTTATTGTATTTAAATGTATTTAAATAATCTAAAATGTGTAATTCGTTAATTTTCTGTCAAATATGTTTAAGCTACCTTAGTGTGAACACTTTTAAATGTAACTCGAGGCGTTTGTGTAATTTTGTTCTCCTATGAGCTGCAATTTCCTTCCCCTGTGACTCCTCAACAGAGCCAATGGGAAAGTATCATCTATATTCATGAGGATTTAGTCTAGTTGTGAGGCTTAAGCGACTCTAAATTATAAATATTTGGATTTTTTTTTTTTCATGGAAGTCCAAACTGTATACCTACAAATTTTTGTATGTTTTTTTTGTTTTTGTTTTTTTGCTAATATGAATGTAAAGATATTTCAAGGTTTCCAAAAATTATAATTATATTGAGAGTTTGGGTATTTTTAAATGATAATCCCTGTTTTATTTAAAACAGACCACATTAGGCTAAAAGAAACGATCATTCAGCTGTTTAAAAGTAGAACCATACATTATTTGAAATAGTTCTATTTCTCTATCCACTGACATTTGTAGCAGACATTAAAACTTAGACAGGGGATGTGTAAATATTGTTGTTACTTTTTTCCATATAACTGCATTAGGATATCAACATTTTAATATTTTAAATATTAAAATGTTGATATTCTGGTATAATTATATGGGGGAAAACTAACTGCTTCATTTTTTTCTCCCATGTAAAAAACCTTGTGGAATCAGCTAGTTGTTTTCTTTGTTTTTATTTTTTTATTTTTGTGTTTGTTTTTTCTCCGAAGCCATTTACCAGACAGATCGAGGGGTAATTGGAAACGTCCCAGATCTCTTCGTCTTATGAAACAGGTCGAGACACTAGAATTAATGCCTCCTCCCTGATTCCTCATTAGTGCCATCCTGGAGGTGAGGTGTAGCAGAGAGAGAGAGAGAGAGAGAGGAGAAAGGAAGGAAGGGCGATCAGAAGCTCATCAGGTCGAGCAGAAACTGCATTATGCAGAACAGACAAATCTGTTTCGTGTGTTTTTCACTCCATAGAAAAACGATTACCACCCATAATACTTTCCATTCAACAGATGCTGCACTATATGTAATAAAAGTTTGATTTGATCGCAGTTCACCGTGGATGGAAGCGCACTGCTGGAACGCGCAGACGTCCGTTTTTCTATTGGCTCTCCGCTGCGTCGCTCACAGGAATGACGATTTTGCTGCTATAACCAGCTGATACTGAGGCTACGAACACCAAGCCTCTGAAGAGCTGTTGACGGTACGCTGACCCTTCTGCCATCGACGTTATTTGTGCGGATCCAGGTGTTGTCTGCCCACAGACCTGGAGAGGGGAAGACATTTGATCGTGTCACGACGCACCGGTCGTGTTTATTCGCTCCTGTCGCAGGATGTTTCTTCACCTCCCTACATAATCGTTTTCAAGGCAGTTATGCTCTCTGCTTCACAGCGTCTGATCTTTCTCAGGCGACACATCACACATGCAGGTAAACGTTGGGTTTTATTTGATCGCTTTTATTTATCATTATTTATTTAATCGTTGCAGGCGCATGCATTTAGGCTAATGTCATTCTTGTGGAGGGTAAGCCCCACAGCCCTGTCGGTGTGTACTGATTTGCTGCACTGTGTTGAGCATGCTCTGGCAGCTCTCTATGATGCATGCACTGGTTCCTGTGTAGGCTGAGAAACGCGTGGACAGGGATGGAATTGTGCTGCGCTCCGCAGCGCAGCGACGCCAGAGACGCAGTTCGATGCAGAGAGAGGGAAGAGCAGCATTAGCTACTATCCCCCTTTTATCTCCCTCCCTCTCACCTCACAAACACGCGCGAGCGCACACTCAATTGTGCACGCGGACGCACGAGCCTAAGCTATTTATTTCACGCATCCTAAAACACTTCAACCTACTTTGGCCCTTAGGTTGGTTTTCATTCTACCTATCACTGGAGTATTTGGAATTGAACAAATATTTCCCATTTTATTTTTCATTTAAATCCACTTAAAACTGGTTCTTGGTGGGGGGTTTTTAATAAAGTTACCAAGTCTCCATGTATTTCAGGTTTCTCCAACTTGTCTATTGCCTCCCCCTCAACACCATATCCATCCTCGATGGTCTGCACATCCACATCATTGCTTTTCCCTGGAAAGCCTAAGATGTGTGGATTGCACACTGCATAGGAAAACGCCCACACACAGGCACGTGAGTCAAATCAACATTAAAGTGTTTTTCTTCTTTTTGCACTGTTGCTCTGCTGAATACACTGCATGAAAAGTGGGATTTTCGTCAATATACGGCACTGTAGATTGTCGTGGAACTTCAGGTTAGCGGCAGTTTACGGCAATTTGCAGGCTTCGACGAAAACTCCCGTAAATTGTCAGAAATTGACGTGGAATTTCTTAGGCAGTGTTCCCCCCATGCCTCCCCCCCATGGAATTCTAGGGGAGGCTTTAACATGTAAATGAACATGCTGTGAGCTATACAAATGCAAACCAGGGTTGCAGGGGGGGTTTTACCCCCCCCTGCAACCCTGGGTAAGAAAATCTCTGATACAAAGAGATCAGGTATAGCCTCTTACATTTTAGCTTGAATTGATTTATTTAATTAAAGTATAGAGACCAAAACAGATCTTTAGCTGACAGAGCAATACATTTAGAGCTGTAATTATTTTTTTTTTAATTTGCATTTAAGATAAAAAAATAAAATGTTGTCTGTCAATATGCTCAATTCACAATTACTTAAGTGGAAAAGTTTCAAGAAATGATTCTGAGATGATTCACTTTATAACATGGCGCATTATCCTGTTGGAAGTAGCCATCAGAAGATTGGTACACTGTGGTCATAAGGACATAGGTCAGCATGCTAAATTGGTTTTAAGTGGCCCAAAGTGTGGCAATAAATATCCCCCAAATAGATGGTAGAAATAGATCAGGCTCAGTATAGCCTAATTATAGACTCTTACATTTTAGCTTGAATTGATTTATTTAATTAAAGTACGCTAGATTACTGTGTATGCAAATGTTATGTAAAAAAAATACACAAAATAATTTACTTCAAAAATTAGTTTTAATCAGAATCAGTTGGCTGTAATGGTTAATTTTTTTTTTTAGATTTCCACTTTTTTTTTTTTTTGTTATTGAATATATAAGAAAACAATAACAATCTCAAATAACAAGTCAATAACAAATATTTCAATACAAGAAGAAATATCACAACTCCTGCTTTTGAAAAATAAAATTAAATGCACAGGCTGGAAAAAAGTATAAAATAAAATAAAATAAAATAAATAAAAATAAATAAAATAATAATAGTAGTTAAAGTAAATTAATCAGTGGGGACTACCAACTGAAATTCTTCAATTAACTCAAACAATTTAATTGCATTTAAATTCTGCATCTTTCTCAGACATCTTTTGAAAAGGGAAAGTTCATTTTTGAGAGCAGAGATTGAGAGGGAGCATTTTGCATAGCGACATTTATGGATATAATACTTTGTTACAATTATTAGAATATTAATTAAAAATTCCAAATTTTTTTTCTTTAATGGATAAACCGAATTAAATGTTTTGCCAGGAAATAAAATCTAAATTTATTGTTTTAGAAGACAGAAAGGTTCGAAGTTGATCCCATAAGTTTAATACTTCTTTACATTCATAAAAAAGATGTTTAGTTGTTTCCAATTGAGTTGTACAAAAGCCACAATTCTCAACATTAAACTTAAATCTCTCTCTTAAAAACTCATTTGAAGGATATATGTTATTTATTATTTTAAATTGTAATTCTTTATATTTAGGAGGAATTGGGAATTTCAAATAATTTGTCCTAATTTTGACTATCATAGATTTCTTAAAATTTTGTAAGAGAGCTGTGCTTTTTTTTCTTCCTGGGTACATATTATTTATAGAATATTGATTCAAAAACTTGTTGTTGCATTTATTATCTCTAATGTCCACCTGCTCAAATTCATCTTATGGAGACAAACAATTGCAATTGCAAACAATTTATAGGTGCATTACCGCCACCTTCCAGAAAGGAGCGACGCGAGCTCTTCTCGCGAGTCCTTCCGTATAACAATGACGTCGTATGTGATTGGAGGAGCCTGATGAGCCTTCGGCCCCATCGTCCAATCACGTGTGAGCTTTTGTGCACTACGACTTCTCGCGAGACCAGCATATTAGCAGACATGTTTGTGTTACTATACTCAGAAGAGCTTCATCTCCAGTTACCGTGTTTGTATTTTGTTGTTACGTGAACAATGGCTGCACGACGTCTCGCGTTCAACTCGCCTCCAACTGCTCTTAGTCCACAACTTTCGGCCAGCCCGCAGACTGACGAGAAGAAACTGCTGATTGCTATCAGCGGACTGTCTCGTCAGCTTGCCCAACATACTGCCGACATGAATGAGCGTCTCACTCAGCTGGAGAATTCGATGCACTCCAGGTTGTAGTCCATAGAGGACAAGATGGCGGCTCTGCAGTTAGGGTGGCCATTTCTATAGCACCAAAAAGGAGGACATTGTGCGGCATATCAATAAATTACTAAGGTGTACATAAGAATCGGGTAAAGTCACATTTATAGCACAATTCTTAGTAGTTTAAAGAGGATGCTTGTGTAGCTGAATAGAACAAAATAATAAAGAAATGTAAAAAAAAAAATTGGTTCCCAGCATTTGTATTTATTTAATACATTGTGGTGTTTAAAAAGTGACCATTTTTTTAACACAATTAATTTGCGCAGAACTGCTGCAATTGATCATAAAGCAGTTGTTTGGAAAAGAAGCTCGAGAAAGAGCTAGAGAATAGGACGATGCAAACTGCAAAAAGTGGCTGGAAAAGAGGAATTCATGACATGGCTGCAGCCTGTCGAGAGTAAAGATGATTTCACCATGTTCTCTATCTATCCATATCTATCTATATATCTATCTATCTATCCATATCTATCTATCTATCTATCTATCTATCTATCTATCTATCTATCTATCTATATATATATATATATATATATATATATATATATATATATATAAACTTGAGTCATGGAACTGTGCTTACAGCTCCTTATTTCATGTAAACTAATAACTTGTGTACATGATACTTGTTGATGGCATTAAAATTATTTCTAATAGCATTAAAAGAGCATTAAATTAGAGCTCCTCATTCCTGTATAAAACCTGTGAACGCTTAATTGAATCTGACATATTAAAAAAATCCCCATCATCATCCAGCAGATGTTCAGTTTCTGCCCAAATATTTTCTTTCTGTTGCCGATTTTTGTAACAGGGATAACTAGGATCATACATAGTTTGTATGAACTCTGTTTATTCTCTGCTTCCAAACTCATCATCTCTTCATCCATTCCTGCAATAAGAATTTTCTTTTAAAGTTGTGAGATTCACTCTAGAATCTCACAACTTCTTCCTGGTCTGTTGAAGCACCAATAGTCTGCATCCAATTATTTAATTAATTGCTCTTAGTTTTTGGGAATATATACAAACTATGCTCTAATTTCTAGATACCGATCTGTTTTTACTATAATTTAATTTGACAAACCGGGTCTTCTCTACATTCTTTTTTCTGTTTGGTGCGATTGCAATAGCGGGTCTTGATCTGGACGGACCGGAGGGGAGCAAAAAATAGCTCAGCTCCGTATTTTGACGGTGTTTGGGAACGACAGCAACTCAGCCACGAAGTGGTAGGCCACGTAAACTGACGGAGCAGGGTCAGCGGATGCTGACGCGCATAGTGCGAAGAGGTCGCCAACTTTCTGCAGAGTCAATCACTACAGACCTCCAAACTTCATGTGGCCTTCAGATTAGCTCAAGAACAGTGCGCAGAGAGCTTCATGGAATGGGTTTCCATGGTCGAGCAGCTGCATCCAAGCCATACATCACCAAGTGCAATGCAAAGCGTCGGATGCGGTGGTGTAAAGCACGCCGCCACTGGACTCTAGAGCAGTGGAGACGCGTTCTCTGGAGTGACGAATCGCGCTTCTCCATCTGGCAATCTGATGGACGGGTCTGGGTTTGGCGGTTGCCAGGAGAACGGTACTTGTCTGACTGCATTGTGCCAAGTGTAAAGTTTGGTGGAGGGGGGATTATGGTGTGGGGTTGTTTTTCAGGAGCTGGGCTTGGCCCCTTAGTTCCAGTGAAAGGAACTCTGAATGCTTCAGCATACCAAGACATTTTGGACAATTCCATGCTCCCAACTTTGTGGGAACAGTTTGGAGCTGGCCCCTTCCTCTTCCAACATGACTGTGCACCAGTGCACAAAGCAAGGTCCATAAAGACATGGATGACAGAGTCTGGTGTGGATGAACTTGACTGGCCTGCACAGAGTCCTGACCTCAACCCGATAGAACACCTTTGGGATGAATTAGAGCGGAGACTGAGAGCCAGGCCTTCTCGTCCAACATCAGTGTGCGACCTCACAAATGCGCTTCTGGAAGAATGGTCAAAAATTCCCATAAACACACTCCTAAACCTTGTGGACAGCCT